GATCTTTCTGGAGCCATGGCTGTCAGGAACAATTTCAAATATAAATCAGTCTTCACTGGGTATCTCCAGCCTGTGATAGAGCACAAATTACTTAGGATCCTCCTGGTGATGTTCAACCATTTCCTCTCAGAACAGCAAAACAACAGGGAGATAAAGGAGAAACCTTCAAACCTTAAATATTTTCAGAATGATAAAAATCAAACCTTTCCTATTTACAGCGCTTTTTTTGCTGTAACTACATACTTCATATGTACGTTGAATATTGTGTACTGATGCTCCCCCTATAGAAGAAAAACAGGATCTATTTGGCTATCTCATTCACCCTAATCAGCAAAGTGAGAAAAGTAAAAGTAATCAAGTAAAAAAATTGTATCACCTGGTCAAGAATTAAACCATGTAACCCTGTATCTTACCTGGTTAGTGACACATCAGTCTTTGCAGTATCTACTACAGAAAGAAAATATAAATCCTCAAACATGCTTTGAGGTACTTCAGCAATATGGCATTTAGATGAGTAAGGCTGGAATGTAATTGTAGAGTAACCTCCTAGGGCTGATTTGCAAAGCCCTTTGTAACCTACACTGTTTTTCCAGACTTCCATATATGGTTGTGTAATTAGATATAATGGATGTAAAAATAATGACTATACTTAGTAGATTACCATTTAGAGGGCTAGATTACTATTTAGAAAGCATACCATTTAATAAAATAGTTTACATAGGAGAAACTTGCACTTGAGATACCCTAACAAAATGATTGTGATATAATAGCAGTCACTTGCAGTGGAATATGTGAAACAAAGAACAAAAATGCAAGGCATGCTATTAAGCAAAACAAAAAAGAAAAAAATACAGGATTCCACCACAGTTCTCATGCTGCCAACACTTCTCTGGCCAGATTAATCGATTTTTAAAGCTCAGTGTACGTTTTCCTTAAAATAGCTACAGAAAGATCCAAAGAGCTTCTGCAACTGCTCCTAAGGAGTTTCACAGGCTGTGTCTTTACTGCCATCTATCCACAGAGCAGCAGATATTTTCTGGTTGCAGAGAGGACAACAGGAAGATGGACAAAGCTACCATGCCCATCACTCAAAAATGCTTATTTTAAACAGACTTCTGCTAGCTACATCAGAAAGCAATACACAGAATCTCAAAAACATTCACTATATTATATGCTACGAGTCACCTGTCTTTCCTGTAGCTAGATGAAACTGCACCTTGCAGCTATGAGTTCCACAGCTTGCTTGCCTTTTTGTTTTTTCCTCCTCCTTTTCACTTTAGTCAATCATTCTGCTCCTAGTAGATAAAAGGAACATACTTTTGAACTTAACTCTCCTAATGAGCTGCAGAATAAACCTAAGAAATCTTTCCCCTCCAACATCAGTCCACCCCACATTTATCTATTGACACAGAAGTAGGAACTAAAGCATAGATAAGTGATGTTAATGGCCTCCTATAGGAAAGGAAAGCAGAACCTAAACCAGAACTCAGATATAAGGGTTATATATGTCAGGATATAAAATAAATATCCATATTTTTCATGGCTTTCATTATTTTCTTCTACCATGGAGAAATTACTGATTGCAAAAGGGCTATGACTGACAAAAGGCAGTTTTTGCCATTAGCAAATAGTAAGCCTTTCAACAAATTTTCTCTAATCAACTCTTACTAAATAGCAGGTCTTCTACAGTAAGCATATATTTCATAATACTATAAAATAATATGGTCATTTTTAACATAACCTTTCTAATTGCTGGGGCTTTATATAGTTACGCAATCAGAAGACTTCATTCACTTCATATTTCATCTCCCACAACCAGTTGTTTTTAATCATATACCATCCAGTCTAACCTCGAACAGCAACTTCAGAAATTCAGCTGCAGTCTAAAAGATTTATGTGCTCAAAGGCACAGATAGGAACAGCAGCACATGACTGCACACAAGACACTGCTCAAAATGGCTTAAAATACCTTTTTGAGAGAGAAATGCACATCCACATCAGGTTTGCCCTCAGAAAACTGCTTACTAAAGACGTAAAGTGATCTCCTAATCTCACCACATTCAGAAAAAAAAAGTTAAAAGAAGTATGCTTAAATATTTTTTAATTAAAATTATATGTCAAAACTCATTACAAGCATTTTTATCGCTTTGAGCTCTTCAAAAATATCTTGGGTGTTTGCCATCCTTCAGGAGGGTTTTTCAAACCAGCTCTTCTCCAGATGCGCTGCAAATCTTTCTCAAACTTTAACTGAAACAGAAAGAAGAAAAAAATTGCTTAGAAGTGATAGCAAATCATTCAGTCACTGCCAAAGCAGTCCAAATTACCCGTATAATCCAAGTATAATCTGCATTTTTTTTTAAAAAAAATCTAGGCATCCTATTCTATTTGTCAAAATACAGTCAGCCTTACTGCAGAAAACACATCTGAAACATGAGGAACTTGAGCCCTGGTTCGCCTACTCCCTCCGCTAAGAAATGGGAATGGATTCTAGACAAAAGAATAGGATTCTCTCTCCAGTGGCTCTATGGAACCACTTGAGGATGTTGACATAACAGGAAGGAAATTAAGCCTAAATCAACCTCCCAGGTATTTTGGAAGTTGTAAATCATTACTTTATCACACATGTGAAAAATTATTTCGTTAGACATTTACAAGTTACTTTTATGTAAGAAAAGTCACACACAGCTACTACGCATCTGTTTAGAAGTACAGAAATATTCTAAATTTTAATTTCTGAAGATACCCAGATGAAAAATTAGAAAAACAGCAAAACACTGGAGAGCTCAGAGCTCTCAGAGCTGCTGCTGTTTTCCCTTAAAATCAATTCTACCTGAAATTTTCCTCCCCTACCTAAAGGGAACAGAGGCCAGTTTGTTTTTCTCTCTACCCTGAGCTTACCTGACGTTTCTTCTTGCGGCCTTCCTTTATCCTCCTCCGCACAAACTTTCGCCGCTTGAGCAGCTTTTTGTACTTGTGCCGGTTCATTTTCCTCCTGCGGATCTTCAAAACGTTCTTACATTCCAGTTTGTTGCCGAGAAGTGTTCCTTCTTCTTCCACATCAGCTCCCACATCAGCTGCTGGGCAGTCATATTGCTGGACAGGCTCATAATCTACTTTTTCCTGAGTATTGACTATTTCTGCTTTAGGAAGAGAGTATCTAACTGTGAGCCAGCTTTCCAAGGGGCTGATGGAAAGTTTCCTGGGAACCAGCATCTCTTCCAGGTCAGGGTCCTGCGTGTGCCACTGCTGAGACTGAGCTCCATTCTTATTAGAGGGCTGAGTGCTGTACTTGGCAGATGCAGAATGAGAATAAAGAACGGATGAGACTGACCTTGGCCAAAGGTGTCCTTGGAGAAGAAAAGAGTTTCATTTAAGAGACGGAATTCTTGGACGTTATCTCAACATAAGCACTGCTCCATTCCAGAACCACCCATTACAGACAATACAGTCAAACACAGGAAGCTGTTTACAAGCAATTATTTTCTCGCCATAAAAACAAGAAAGAAGTCGCACAATATCCTCTTACCTGCAACTCGTGAAGCCTTCACTAACTGGGAAGCCAGACGTGATACTAACATTTTTTTTTCACCTAGTCCACTCCTCCAGCTTCAGTAGTGACTGTTAAAATAAACACATTTATTCCATAAGGCAAACATGCTGTTTTGACACCCCAAAATGCCTCCTCCAGATTTAAAACTCAAGGCAGATAGGCTCAGATCTTCTAAACTCCTTTTCTGACCAAAACAGGGTGCTATTCTGCTGAGAGGCCTGGTCCACAAGCCCGTACCGCCACAGTGCGGCGTTTCACGGCAGATTAATGCGCTTTTTGAGGAAAAAACAAAGCAAGTCCAGGCCCAAGCGGCGGTTCCCCCCCGCCCCGGCAATGGGCGCTTCCCCAGGGAGCGCAGCGCGGCCGGAGCGGGCCGTGACCGCGCGCAGCGATGCCGGCGGCAGCGCCCCCCGGCGGCGCCCGCCGGGGCCGCAGCCACGAGGCCGCTGAGGGGAAACGCTTCGAAAAACGGCGATTTACGGCAAAAGGACCAAGGGGGACACGGTCCAGGGGGGAGGCCCCCCTCCTTCCACCCTTAACTTTTATTTTTATGTTGCCTTGCACCTGGGTAAGAGGCAGGCAGGTTAGTTAAGTGCCAAAATGCAGCAATTAAACAAGGAGACACCCAGTCCCTTTGGGACCCCAATTACCAAACAGCTACTTGAGCAGGTCAAATGCCTCAGTAGTACGACATAGGAAAAAAAAAAAAGATCAAAAGCCTTAAAATAGAAACACTGGAGAAAACAGTCACTTCAGATGGTATTAAAAGCACTTTGGGTGGATCTAAATTACCTTGTACTGCATTTTGTCTTTGGCTACTTTAGTACTGCTTCAGTTCTTCAGAGGTTGCTGAGGAGGCCAGGCCAGTTAAAAGCCACTCACCCCAACTCCAGGCAAGTATCCTTTTTCCCCTACTTTGACTTTCCATCTATCTGCTGCCTCTCCCAGCTGGGAAAGGCAGCTAAGCAGAAATAAGAAAGTTAGAGTTGAAAAGTATTTAAGGTGAAGCCCCACAGATGGGTGTTACCCCTCACTGTCGTCCTGAGGCATCCAAAGCGCAACCACCACCAGCCACTAATGAATCTTACTCTGCTGACAAGGGACACCAACCCAGCAGATGGTGTTTTTAGTCAAGTCCTGGAAGCTATGGCAGCAAACTTAAATAAAAGCACCGATTTCACACACTGCATCCGTACTCTCCTCCAGGAAGACATACACCCCACTCAGTATGTCACACATGAAGATGAAATAAGTGAACTACAATCTGCTGTCTCTTCACTCAAACCAGATTTCTTCTTTCCTTAGGAGGCACCATGGTGCATACAGCTCATGAGAAACTACTATCAAGTAATTTAATATAAAAATCAAATACTTTAATGAAATTAGGGAGCATGAGAGCAACAGCTCAGATTATACCATTAGAACTGATACTACTGGGCTGGGATTTTTTTTTGTTCATTTTGTTTTTAAACATGTTCTATTCCTCAACAAGCAAGAAGACTGACAAACTACTACTCCAGAGTGTCAAAGATCCTGAGTAAAGAATTTCAAACCACATAGAATGTATATATAGGAAATGTCTATTATGAGCTGGTGACCGGCACACAGCATTGCACGGATAAAAAATATACTACTTTCAATACACAGAGCTAAATACTTTCACATTTATCAGAACTTTCTACACAAGTCTTTTTGATAGAATTCAAGTTTTGAATTTTCTGTATATATCTTTCACTTGTATTAAACAAATGCATATTTACATTGTGAATAAAGTGTAAAGGCTAGTAAGGCCAAATTCCCATACTATACTGTAACACTGCAAAATATATATACACATATATAACCTAATATAGGCATAATTCTAAAAAAAGTCACCTTACATTTGTACAACATAGTCGAATCGGTATGAAAAGACAGCTTTGTTAGCACCAAGCCACTCCAATGGTTTTTAGAACCATCTGAGCCTTCTAGTTCCGCAGGGGAGGACTGTTCATCACAGTCCATCATCTACTGAGCCGTGGAGCTCCCTGCTTGCAGGGCTGCAAATCCCAAGTAACACTTCCTCGTGCTACAATTTAAATTACTAAAAAGCAGGCAATGGGAGCACACCCAGAGGCAAACTCCGCAGTATTACTGGATGACACTCCAGCAGACAGCAACTAGGACATTATCAGATTAAGTCTTCCACATCATCCTATCCAGTTCACATATTTCCTTTGGATTAAAGTACAGAATTAGCAGCCGAATGGACATCACAAGCTAAAGTGGTTTATAAACCAGATTAACGCTACGCTGTAAAGATCAGATGTAGGGAAGAGCTCCCCCGAATTCCAAAGGAAAGAGCTCTTTGTCCTACTCATCGCCTGTGCCTGCTGTGGCCAGGGTGGTCTCGGTCATAGCGATGACTCGTTCGCTCATAGGAGCGCGAACGCTCGTGCCTGTGATTTCTGTAGTAGTGACTTTTCTTCTTGTACTTTCCTGAATGGTCCGAGCGCTCCCGGGACCGGCTCCTGGAACGCGACGAACTTCTACTGCGGGATTTCCTTGGTTTGTGTGCTGAGTATTTGTAGTCTTTTGATTTCTTGTAACTTCTCATCTTGGAACCTTTGTAAGCAGAAGTGTGGTTGAACTGCCTTGGAGGAGAGTCACTGCGACTCCTAGAGCGGCTGTGGGATTTGGAACCACTTGAAGTGGAGTAACTTTCACTTTTCCTATAGCAAAAAAGTACAGGAGAAAGCCCCCATGACTTTCTTAATATGAAATTCTGATGAAGCAGACTGCTCTTCATCACTATTAACTTAATCTCCCAACTTTTCTGTCACTAGCACTCGCAGCATCTTCACCCAGCTCTCACATTTTGTGGCCGCAGCCACAGAAGCCCAACTTTAAGTATGAAATAGAAACACAAAAAATACAAATACCAAATCCTGCTTAAGACAGTACACCAGCAAAAAACAAGCTGCAGTTCAAAAATGCCCCACTATTACACTTTTTTTTTCCAGTGCATTTTGCACAGATAAGGCATGATCAAACTCTCTGAAACTCCCTTGACATGTTAGCCGTAACAGTGGAACTTTTATTCTTGAACAGTCTTCTTTAGTATGGAAATCTGGGATGTTCTCACAGAATGCCCTTCTTTTGACAACAGCACGTACCTGTGCTTAGGGGATGCAGACCTGGACTGCGATCTTGAATAACTCTGATCTCTACTTCCACTTCGACTTCTACTTTCTCTTCCTTTCTGAACACTGCAAGGCATAATAAGCCAATAACGTATTTTGCTTAAAATAGTGAGGGGGGTGGGGGGAAGGCAGGCTTCATTATGTAAGACTTACCCATTTACTGGGCTATTTGATCCCACTCTTTTTGCTCCCTCAGTTTTTCTTTTAGCATTCTTCATTGCCTGTACAGGTAGTGGTGAAGGTTTGTTTCCCTTAATTTCTTTGGGAGATTCTAAAAATACATAAATAAAAGTTTGTTACCTTGATTGCAGGGATGAATAATGGATGAATCATAGTAAAGACTAGAAGGGGCCTGCAAGACAAGGAGGATTCAGTCATCTAGAACTTACCATTTTTTGGTACAGGCGAAAATCCTGATGTATTATCCAAACTTGGGGTTCCCTCAGGTAGCAGACCTTTAGCTTGTGCTTTTGCCTCTTCAATTGCTAGTTTCTTTTTTTCTATTTTACTTTCCAGATCAGTTAAATCAACCTTCAAAGAAATGAACACTGATCAAAATGAAGTTTTGTGAACTGGACTTTCTACAGTGTCATGACAGGGGAAATAACCTAGAGACCCAGACTCTGAGCAATATGCTGCTCCACTACTCCACCAGGCTTGCAGCTAGCTTCAAATGGAGTATGGATTTCTGACTCCCTTTCAAAGTCATAGTCAACAAAGACCTATGATGAGAAAACAAACCTTTTTCCGAGTATAAAGTTGCAAAATTTTTAAACAGATTTCTTGAATCTCTTCTTCTGTTGCTCCAAAGAGTAGAAACCAGTGTGGGCGATTAGGAAGAGGAATCTGAAAGGGAGGGGATAAGACACTCAGTTTGCTGCTTTTAAGACATAATAGACCTGAATTGAATGGAACTCCACACTCACCTCCAGTGTCCTGGCAGCAAGGTAAATACAGGCACACGCAATGCTTTCTGGCTGGAATCTTACAAAGACATCTGTTCTCAGGCTGTCATTCATGTAATTCCTGAAAAACAAGATATCAGCAGACCTACAGGATGCTGTGATTTTTCTCCTATTGTTTTTACTTCTACAAGGACTATTTCTCTCTGCATTCAGTTACTAAGCTTCAACATGATACTCCTGTAAATCTAAACAAAAGTTGAGTAAAAATTTACTAAATAAATCCCTCAAGTGGAGGGATGAGAAATGGAAGTAAGTTTGACTGACTGGCTGGCTGTTAAAAATTCAGTTGTGAGAAGAGAACCAATTTTAACTTCACTTTTCCCCCTGAATATCTACTGGCCTGCTCTCATGCAATAAGAGATTTTTTTTTTCCCCCTCAACGCAACATACAGTATATCTGAAGTACTCAATTATAGAATTTTAGCTTCACGTATTTCTTTGCAATGTGACAGGACTTGGGCAGTTTGCTGAAAGCTGCAGATCCTGTGGTAGTTCTCCCAAGAAAATGCAGTCCACTTCAACATGTTCCACAGGGAAGTTTTTCCAAGGTGGTCATTTTCCTTCAAAAAGGCCATTTTCCATCCAGAATCAAACTCATTATGATGCAAAAGACAGTCACAGAAGAGACTGGGATGTTCGGGAATATCAACTCAGAAGAATATTTCGTATTCAGGCAGTTCTCCTCTTTGGCATATGAAATATGGTATCCAAATTGTCCCATTTCAATAAAGTTGCTTAAAATGAATAGTCACAGAATGAGAAAACTGTAAAATATTGCATATATTCCAGTCAGTACACATTAAAATTATTCTTATGAAGTCTTAAGCATAGTGAGTATATTCCTCTGTATCTGTCAGCTGACGTGCTTAGAGATCTACGTTTCTGAGTACATATTTCAAAACACCATATAGAAAAAGCAGTAAAACCAGATCACCCCCACCCCACCTACAGACCTCTCTGTAACAAGCTTTCTGGAAGTAGTAGGTAACTGACCGTGTGGGTGCCCAGTACACAAGGATTCACTAAGCCCCAAGACATCCAAAACAGAGACCACAGTCCACTTAAATCCAGTTTACATAGAAAAGACAAAAGGAACTTGAAATCCATGGATATCAAACTCCCATCTGCCACAGTTTTCTATTGTTTTCCTGTTTATACAAAAAGCAAATGCTACTCCAGAAAAGTTGTGCCAAACAGCACAAACAGAACACAAAGCTTTGCCAAATAAACTATGAGGAGAAAAAAAAAAAAAAAAAAAAAAAGGCACTCCAAATATCTGAAAGTCATACAGACCTTTTCTAACTTAAGCTGATACTACTAACACTGCCTATTTCCAGGTCTACCCTCTGTATAACTTCCCTGTGGTCTCAGAATCCAGATGTATGAGGAAATGAATACTTGTCACAATATTTAAAGAAAGTAATGCAATAAAAACAAATATTTCAACAATTTTTTAAAGGCTATACTGGATACCCACCAGTTCTCATATACTAGAAGCAACAAGCATTAGAACACAAATACTTAAAACAGTTCAACCATTTCTCATTTGGGTTATTTTCTCCCTCCTCCTCATCCATCTTTCCTTTCACAAGAAGTAGAAAATTAGCAACTAATAGTCCATAACTCGTATCTGAATATGCCATACAACGGTACTGGGGAAACTAGTAGTAGAAAATTTCCATAAGCCCCCAGTCAAAGATGCATTTGATTCTAAGCTTCACATCCATTCAGTTACTTAAAAATTTACAAACAAGCTAGATTTCAATTTTTGTTAATTCAGCCCCTCATGTCCCACGTTCATTTGTTTTATCATCTATGATAACACCATTTTAACAGTAATAGGAATTCAACATTCAAAGTCTGTCAGAATTTCAACAACCAAGTTATGAAGTACACAATTGTCAAAAGGCATAACAAAAAAAATAACAGACAGTAAGAAGTCAAAATGTATAAAAAGCACAAGCAGCAGTTGGCCAGTTACTATACTATCATGTATATACCACCTGTCTAGAGTCAGCCTTCTCTTTGTAGAGCCTGCTTTGGTTTGACTGAAGACGGCAGCTATCCCTGCACCATAGCGCTTGGGCAGCAGAGGAGAAGTCTTAGTCACTTACCCTCAGAGGCTACCCTTTGATCAAAAGAGTACAGAAAAGAAAAGTCAAAACTGGTTCTCTACACACAGATCACAGTACCAGACAGTTCAGTCAGCAGAAATATGATATTTAGATTCATTTTTTTAAAAGAACTTTTATTTTGCTTAGAAACATTATCAATCTGTTAAACTCAAGACCTGGAATTTTATCTTAGCTGCCCACCTCCCAAAAAGCTTTACAGTAATGAGAATAACAAGGTGGAGGATGCCTCTCAGCAAACACTCAACTTGATATATCCAGTCTTAGAAGCTGACATCTTGCATTATCCATATGGCTAAAAAGAATTTTCCTGTGCTGCGAGTTCTTGATACAATTGTTGTAACAAACAGCCTGAAGCACCGGGAAAGTGCTTTTTCCCCAAATACTGGTAACAGACTTTATCTGCACTTAAGAGTTTATGCAGAGAACAAACACTGCACACTTCACAATCCGCCCCCAGTCCCTCAAAAAAAAAAAAAAGAAAGGAAAAAAAAAAAGAGTAATCCTCCAAACCCACTCGATATTTTCCCTTCAGCTGGAAGGTGGAAGCAGAGGAGAGCTAAGTGAGAATCCAGGGTGGAGAGCAACCTTACCATAACGAGCGCCTCAAACTTAAGAGGCTGATCAACATTTGGGTAGTAGTTTGGGGCACTCCAAGCAACAGAGTGTAGCTGTCTGGTTTGGCCCATATCATTTCTGAGCAATGCTGCCCAGAGAGCCTTACGTGACATATTTCTGCTACTGCCCCTGCTGGTCTCTTAAAACAGACACAAACACATACAAAATCATCAACTTACCATGAGGTCTGGACCAGGTGTTGGTTACGTTCACATTCTAATACCTGAAGATACATAACGATTATCTGGAAGATATGGGTTATTGAGTTATTACCAAGAATCTTGAGAGCCACCTATTTATTTCAGAGGGACATCCACGAGGCATCTGCTACTCTTTCAGGTTTTAAGACTCCAATAAGGTGCTTGCAACACACCCAGCATTTGCCCACACAGCTTCTGCCTTCCAGTGCAAAAGCCTGCATGAGTTACACATGGCCAAACGTGGCCTTCCTAGCTCGCCGACTTCCGAGCTCGGTCATCTAGAAGCCTGTTTTTCCAACTGCTTTCAAGCTAGGTATGTTCTCCTATACAATTCACCATTCCTTTTTAGCAGCAGCTTGGAAGAAAACACAGCTGACTGTGGTACATGACAACGGAAGAGCAACAGCATTTGCAGAGAACAAACCTAGCACGCAGTATATGTTATTTTTTATTCAGTCCTGAGTATTTCAGCTTGAAAACAGAAACAAAACCACAACATCCCCCCACCAAACCCAGCAGAACACATATAAATTGCTTTATTTGAAGTTAACAAACAAGTACAGCTCTCTTCTGAGGCACTGAGCAAATATTAAAAATCAAGTAGTCTCTCAAGACCTTAAGACAATCGTATCTGTTAGAAAAATTAAGAGTAATATCTCAAGTTCTGAAGATACAGAAAATTATCAGCTAGATCCTATCAGCTATTTAAGGTCTAATGCTAATACTGATGATGCTAGAAATTATCATCTTAAATGTGCACAATACCTACACCTCTGAAGTGTCACTGTTGCCTGGCATCCTAAAATTGATAACAACTGTCTCCTTTTGGGTAAGCCACTTCACATCTGAATTAACTTCTAGAACAAACACTGCTACAGCACACGGGCTTAATATCCTCAGCATACTTCTAGAATATTCATGACAGAGGCTATTTATCTAATAAAAATATTAGAGCCTTGGGGCTCTAAAACCCTTTCTGCCCAAGGGTCCACATTTGGCATAACACTGTGGCCTAAGTTCTAAACAAGGTTACCTGCCTAAATAAATTTTATTCTAAAGCAAACCATTCGAGTAAATTTGACTTCAAGGAACATTTAACATCTGCAACCAGTTGTCATTCAGCAGCAATGCAAGACCAACTAGCAAGAATATCTCAAATGAGAAAGAGGATCAACACTGTAAGAAGCCAGCTTTACTAATTTTGTGTTATCAGGTGCAAATCACATAACTGCTGTGCATTTAAGCAGTCTACTCAAACCACTGCAGAACATACTGAACATATACTGACTGGTGTTTAAGTTCTCATATAGTACAAACCTTATGCGGATGCTTTACGTGAACACAAAATCCCAACTCCTTTAGGACTCTTCTTTCTGCCTTAATAATTTGGTTCTTCAAGTTAACATACTCTTGATCCAATATCAGAGGCACAGGTTTTCTGTAAGACAATTTCAAATGCCATCAAACAAGATATTCTTAACACTATGGGGGACTCATATGCAGCTTTAGTCGCATCCACGTAAAAATGAAGATTTTACCATTAGTTATAAATCACAGGAAATATTTACTTGAAAAAGACTGGACAACATGTTTTTCTCCTTAATAAGATTTTTTCCAAGTCATCCCCTGATTTATAAGGGAGGGAACATTAGTAATTTTATCCCATGGAGTTTTATTATTAAAGTATATTAAAAAAAAAAAATCAAAGTAATACTTCAAGGTCTAAGCTTACTTTTTTTCCCTTATGTGTCGAAGGCGATGGAACACATTAATAACGTCCCTTATGCGCCTCGGTGCTTCTTCGATTTTGGATGCCAGATGAACACAGGCCATTGACACATGCTGAAATATAAGTATTGCAACATACTGATGTTTTGCTCAAATCTGGAGCTGATTGCCTCCAACAGCTTAAGGAGGGACAACAAGAGAAAACTGTGGTAAAAACAGGAAATACTCAAAGGTTGGCAAAATCAGTATTTGCTTCTATGTAGCTCTGTAAGACTATATTGATCAATAACTCAAATTTACAGTTTGGTTCCCGAATGCTGGGATCATACCTAGTTCAAAGCTTTAATCACATACGTAGCATTTTAAATATTTTGAATATTTAGTGTATCTTTAAAATTTCTTACCTCCATGGAATGCTTCACGAAAGACTTGGTATAAAAAAAGCGTTGAAACAGCACCTGTCCAGTAGCCATAGCCACCTGAAAACAAAGAAACCACCACAGGTATTAAAAACAGCAAAACAAATACTAGCTTGTTTGTCCCAGTTCCAAAGAGAAGTTATCTAGAACAACTTCCAGAGATTTACGCCCCAGAAAAAACTAGTTGAAAAGACTCTGCAATACCCAGGCAAAAGCAATCACAATCCCAGATAATATTTCTAACAGCTCGTGCTATTCCATGCTTTCAATCCAAATAACTCACACCATTTCTATCGGTTGAACGGCTGGTCTCAAGTTTATTTGCAATGATTCTCTAGCAAAATACTTTACGTGGACTAGAATAACAATTAGGAAAACTGAAAGCATCTAAAAATACTCCCCATATGGGGGCACAGAAAACTGTACCATACTTAACTACTCTTAAGCTTAGCAGTAAGTTCAGTGTCATCTAAAGAAAACTGGTATCACTATTTCAATAACTAAAGTCATTTGAAATGCTACCACCAACAAGCCAAGACATGTTTTACAGGATCAAGGTGCATATTTTAAAAACTATTTTCTTTTTAATGGATTAAAGAAACACACTAAAAGAAAACAGCGATACTGAAAGTTCGGACAAAGTGCTCCACACCCTCCTAAAAAAAGGAAAAAAAAAAAACCTTTTTTTTATTATTTTTTTTTTTATAAAGGTGAACTATGCCCTTCTTTTCCTCACAATGCGATTTGAGCATCAGGCCTCAGTAGCCAAGAGGCACGGGAAATTTTATACTCCAGACACCAGCGAAAACCGACCGAAATCGAAACTCGGGGGGAAATAAACCCTTCCGGAGGCCGCTACGCTCACGGGGCTCCCCCGGAGCCTCCCTGCGCGGCCGCGGCGTTAACAA